ACGAGCTACAGGTGTGTTTCTGGCGAAATAGAGAGTGAAGATGAGGGTGATGTTAGCGTAAATAGAGGCCTTTTGGAGTCAAATCACCTCGAGCCTGTTCCCTTGGAAGGCTATGTGGAACAAAATGAAGGAAAAGTAGAAGGCGGTCTACCTCCGGCATATTACTAGAAATACACAACACCTCTAGATCTTCGCGCAAAATTTTCTCACCAAGCAGTTGTTCGCTCGTTTAACTTGTTTACGGCGTCCAATTCGTTCTTCCGACATGGACTGAAGCCTCAGAAAATGTTTTAAAAAAAGCCGACGTGGACTGAAGCTTTATTCCGAAGGATAAAGTAACTTTAAGAAAGACTAACGTCCGAAAACGGTTAAGGGAAGCTATGAATTACTAAGTTAAACATTACTAACCACGAATTAATCTACCAATTACTAACAAGGATACAGCAAGAATTTCGGAAAAGCAAAGAGCTAGAGTCGTGGATATACGACAAAGTACGAGGACCTCTTTATCTGGTATAAAAGATGTCAACATCATAGTTGCCAGTACTCAATATGAGCACGACTGTCAAAAAATCCAGTAGGCTTGGTCGAGAAACTAAGAATTTTTCCAAATGATAGAGCGGCCATGAAAAAAATATATATATTAAGCGATGTGAATAGCCGTCCCTGACATTTGTACAACACTAAAACTAACAATGGAAGCTAATGTATTTATGATGTAAGAAAAAAGGGTTTGTTTCATAGTATGCCTGTTTCATGGCAAAACATTTTTTCGCTTTACCTTAAGAGAGCTGTGAAAGTGTTGCTAATATGTATATATGGATATGTGTTTATTTGCTAACAAAAATTATGTTGCGTGATATTTGGTACGAACTAATTACATATAGCTACGAAGTTAGTTTACTTTGAACAGAACTCTAAAAGCTTAATAATGTCTGGTTTTTTTTGCCATAAAATCTTAAAATCTAAGAAATGGTGACAGAAAACTTATCTGTGTTACATCTTTCAGTTCAAAGGGGACAGAGAGCAAATTGTTGTTGCTTGAACTCTAAATCTCATGTCTTATAAGTGTTCATCAGTAGGATGCCTAAAATGTGTGTAATACCACAATTGGTTTCGGCTCCATTAAATCCTATACCAATTGTAGACGCTTTTATACGTGTATTAACAGCGATAGCGCAATTTTCAGCGTTCTGGTACGGTCACAGTACACATTTTGAAATGGAGATAAGAATAACGAGTTAATTTTTCCTTACTGAATCAAGTGAGTACTGTTTTCACTTTACGGGATGGCCTTTTTGAAACATATTATTTAATAATAACAATAATAATAATAGTAATAATAATATTAATAATAATAATAATAAATACATTCTTATGTGGCGCATTTACAAAGTTCAATGCGCCTTACAATGATTTACAAACAGAAGATAAAATCAAAATCCCTATCTAATTAAGTTCACCATAATGTTTACTAAAATAAAAAAGCTTTCCAAAAAAGATGAGTTTTCAACTTGTTTTTTTAAAACAGATTACAGTCTTGGCATTCTTAATGTCCTCCGGTAGGGAGTTCCACAAGGTTCGGTGTTAGAAAAGAAAAAGCTCTGCAACCGCAGTTTTCAGATTGAGCTTTTTGAAGACAGGGTAGTGAACGTGACGCTGATATTAAAGTTCGTGACGGTTCATACATTTCAGTTAAAGGCTTCAGGTAGTCTGCAGACTGGCCATGTATAGTCTTAAATGTTATGAGAATGTTAGATTCAATCCTCTTTTCAACTGGAAGCCAGTGCAAGTTCCTTAGTATAGACGTTACATGATCTGAACGTTTTGCGCCCATCACAAGACGTGCCGCGGTATTCTGGATTCGTTGGAGTTTATCCCTTTGATATTTAAGAATACCGTGCAAAAGACAATTACAGTGGTCCAATCGCGAGATGACAAGGGAATTAACTAACATTTTAACTCTGTCTTGCGAGAGATATTTCGGCATGCGTCCTATTGATCTTATGGCGAGAGTAGACTTCATTGATGTGACTACTAAATGGCAAATTATCATCCATAATAACACCTAGATTCCTTGCTTTCTTTGCGATGTTAATTTTGTTAAAATTCAATTAATATTTCTTTGAAATTTACAGTAGCCGTACTTCATTAGTTAATTTTTTTGCGAATATTGATAATACACTTGCAATTGTTTTTGCGGCCTAGTACTGTGCGGAATGCTCGATACATTCGTGCTGGACCGACTTCCGCTGTACTCGTGTGAAAACTTGCAACACTGAGAAAATAGTTTCAAAGGTCAATATTATTGCTTGTGGTCACCTCCTTGTCTACAAAATGCCTAAAAGGTGTAAGAAAAATGGAGAAAAGAAACTTTTTTTCAAAGATCAGGATTCAGACATGTAGGTTTAACAGCACACACGTTACAAGATTGGAAACTGAAGTGAAGAAGTAAAGAAGCGATAACATTATTCGCGCCACCATCTTGAATATTCACGGTAAAGAACTGGGCTCGATCTTGTTTTGTAACTGGATAAAAAAAATGTCCGGATTTAGCGTGCACACGATTCCGAATTGCCTAACGTATTCAAAAATTTTCCACTCTGAAGATCGGATTCGTATGCCGGATTCACCGGATACGTGTGGTCGGGGCCCAATAAGGAGGAGGTTTATTAAAGTAAAGTCACTGCACGTGATGTATTATCGACAATTTGATAGGTTAGTGGGCTTAATGAGTTTTTGGAGTGCATTATTGTATTTCTTGATGAAATAACATTAACTTGATGAACATTTTGAATAAATAATCAAACAACTATATTATTGAATTCGGCTTTCCCATGATATAAAGAATCACGCAGATCCCAGGGAAACTTACACAATTACACCATCCTCCATCTGCATAACTATTCACAGTATTCATACCATTCTCAGCATCATTTAATAACTGTTAAATACCTTCAATATATATGAGGTTATTGTGGTGCTCAAATTAGGAGTTATTACAAAGGTCAACATAGCCGCTGTGGTTGGCCGCCATTAAGGAATCGTAGCGGTGTAGGGGTGGCAGAAGTCAATATAAGCTTTTGTTTAAGTCCTTTCTTCCCTTCGTTTCTGAGCATCATCCTGATTCATTCATTTATTTCTATCTTAACGAATAAGTTACACCTTAATCAGTATTGACTAGACTTAAAACCACAAAAATAGCACTAGATCGCGCTGTTAGGTCAGTGGATAGCAAATCTATAGAAATGGCGAAGTTGCCGAAAATGATCGTAATATTATATCATAGTTTAATCTTATCTGCAATAGCCCTCATGCAAGTTTACGTCAGACGAGTAAATTTCACCACAGGTAACCCAGGCTCTGTGGTAGTACCACAGTACGGTTCTAGTAAATTTACAGTGTTTGTATGGGGTAAAAATACGATCCTAAAATCTAAATATAAGCCAATGAAACTTACCCTGCAGTTAGTTGTTGTTGTCCTTATTGCTCCAACGAAGTTTCGTGATAATTTGTTCAAATTTACTCTATATACAATTATAATATACAAGGTAGGCAACACGAGATGCCATCTTCGCCGCCATGCTCTCATTCAATACAACTTTTTCCACGAAATTCGAACTCCAACAGAAAATAAACATGCCAGGATCGTAGTAATAGGATAGCAGCAGATATAGAAACCAATGAAGCTTTCCCAGATAAAAAAACCAATCCTGCAGACTTTGACAAACTCGAAGGATGTAATCCAAAATGGCTGAGAATATGCAAGCCGAAGTAGCCGGGCCTGATCAACGCGCGGCCAAGAAAATAAGGCCTGGGCACTGTACAAAAAAGATCCATCCCGGGTGTCCTGGGTTGACCTTTCTATATAGGGACTGATACATAGCTTTACCAAAGTTAGCCACCGCTGCTGGAAATACATTTGGTCGAGGGCTATTGTTCACTTGAGACAAACGCGACTTGCCCAAGCAAACTACATGTTCCAGTGCACGCGTCAAAATGAGAAAAAAGCACGTGCATCACGTTTTTTTTTAAATAAACAATCAAATTAAGTGTGATCGTGCGATGCACATTCCAAGCAGATGTTTGGCTAATCTAAAAAATTCGTGTTTGTTGTTAATGTTGTCGCTGTCGCCGTGGTCAATTAAGCTTTTGCGCTTTGAAAATTGAAATTTTCCGAGAGTTAAAAAAAATTGCAAAATGCAAACATCACCTTTCACATGTTTCCTTTTATCTCATATTGACGCGTGCACTGGAACATGTATTTTGTTTGGGCGAGTCGCGTTTGTCTCAAGTGAACAGTAGCCCTCGACCAAATGTATTTCCAGCAGGGGTGGCTAACTTTGGTAAAGCTATGGGCGCGATCCATTCAACCAAAATTTCCGGAAATTTCCTATTACTACAATGCTATCATGTTTACTTTCTGTTGGAGTTCGAATTTCGTGGAAAAATTTGTGTTGAATGAGAGCATGGCGGCGAAGATGCCATCTCGTGTCTCCTAGCTTGCATATTATAATTGTATAGAGAGTGAATTTGAACAAATTGTCACGAAACTTCGTTGGAGCAATAAGGACAACAACAACTAACTGCAGGGTAAGTTCATTGACTTATATTTAGTATTTCCTACAACTTTTAGGATCGTATTTTTACCCCATACAATCACTGTAAATTTACTAGAACCGTACTGTGGTATTATCACAGAGCCTGGGTTACCCGTGATTTCACCACCAGACCTTGTTTTTAAATTGTAAACTTGCGAAATTCTGCATATTTTAAATGATTCCCCGAGCAGTAGAGTTGAGAAGAATACCCACGCACAGAAGGTGCAAATGCGACGAGTTTTGCTCACAAACAAGGCTTGGCGGTGAAATTGGCTCGTCTGACGTAATCATGCGTAAGGGCCATTAAGGTTACTACAGATTTTACCAACTGGCTCTAGCAGCAATAGAATAGAATGTAGTCAATTCAATGTTACTAAGAACTAAAGAAAAGACATTACCTTTGTCGCAGTCTGACAACCATTGAGAACAATAGGACGACTTGTCTGGGCTCTCAAGGGGATTTTTCCCCACGAGAACTATAGGTTGCTGTTGTTTTTCGTCATCTCTTGATTCTGTTTTATAATAACAACGTAGTTAAAATAAGGTCCCTAGTCTATGCCCCATTTAAGAATTTTTTTTTTTTAATTCTTTGGCGTGAGGTGTGAAAAATGTCCCCCGTCTTTGAAGATCAAAACCGTATGTCAGTAATTCAGTCCTTACATAGGCATGAAAGATTCAGCCTATAACAAAATGTTAGAAATTGTCCAGTCCAACCAAAATTTAGCCTGCGAGTAAGTTCTTGTAGGAGGGGGTGTGGGATCAAGCAAAGGCTTGTTCATTTCCCTCACCCAATCGTCTACTAACTGCAGGAATCTAAGAGTAAAGCCCTGACCTTTTATCAGAAAAACGGGTGGGCTGAATATTTTTATTGAGTTACTCCTTAAAGAAATTTAGTTTCATATTTGAGCCTTAATTCTTTAAAAAGAGACAACCATTTTATGCGCCGTGGCTGGAGAACGTAACATAAAACGATTCGTTCGAAAAAGATCTCGTAGCTCTTTAGGTCCTCTAGTAATGAATCAGACTTGTTTTAACCCTATTCAGACTGGGCTTTTTTGGTCAATCTGTGACTGGGGGGCTCCTCGGTCCCCCCCTCTGTATCTCTGGAACCAATAATGCTAGGGTCATGAAATTTACACACAATGATCATCTCCGTACAAAGAAGTCCCACACCCAGTTTTGACTTGCCACGCCCAATGATGACGTCACAGGGACGTCATATTCCGATTTTTCAATTTTTCTTATTATTTTTCCACTTAGGTTAGTAAAATATCAATAATATTGGTAAAGTCATCTCTTTGTTATCCTTTCTTATGAACTAGTAACAAGGAAACACTTGTACAGCGAGAAAAAGCAATAGGAAGCAATAAAATTTAAAATTTGAAATGGTTGTCCGCCATCTTGAATCCGCCATCTTGGATCCGCCATCTTGGATTTGAGGAAAAAGCTCAGAATGTATAAAAGAAGTATCAAACTAATGTTTATTACCCAAACAAATGACTTTGGAAGTGTTATTTGGAAAATAGAGCAGCATATTTGCCAAAGCAAAAAAGTGACAAATTTTACCCCACCCCTCCCCCCCAAATATTCGATGTTGAAACATTTTGATGCAATTCAAAAACTAGTCCCAAGCAAAGACCATTTTAACAACAAAAAGCACTATAAGTGTAAAAACGCGATCTTAAAACAAAAAAATCACCATTTTTTAAATTTTCCAAAACCTATGTGTCAGAAACTGGTTGCCATGGCAACATGATTAATCACATGGACATGGTAATTATACCAAAATGTTCCTAGATAAATTTTAGGAAAAGTCAGAAAATTTGAACGTCATAGCTCTTTCGGTGTAGGAGTTATCACGATTTTGCCGGAGGGGGGGGTTCGAAAAGCCCCCCCCAGTCTGAATAGGGTTAAGGGCCTGTTCATAAAAGGTGCGCCACGCCGACTAGCCGGGCTGGCCTGCTTTATCAAGCTGGCTCAGCTTATGACTTATTTCCTCTTAAAATGATCGTCGTGTTTATATGAGAAGGCGGGCTGGCTTGCTCGCGAAGATCTCCACGCGGCACCTTCTCTATAAACACAAAGGAAGCAAAACAACACAGGCAGGCTAAGCATTTCGAAACCGAGAAATTCACAAAGATTATTTATTGTTATTGTTGTTGTTGTTGTCATAAGGGGGGGGGAGGTGGGGTGTCTCAAGAGAAGAGTTTGAATGAGGTGCTCAAAGCTCAGTTACCAATCATATTTTCCGATAGTCAGTGACAACTTATGTCTGCGCTTCACTGATACAAAGTCTCGACCGGTAGAGTAATTGAAATACTAATGTCCAAAATAATGACGTTCAGTTTTTTCAAGCGATTTTGATATCACTCTGTAGAAAATACACTTCGTAATCCGTATTTGTGAGTATTCATTTTGTTAAAGAGGGGCGCAATAATATAATCAGTATCTTTACACAGATTTCGCTCGTAGATAATGTCAAGTTTTGATCCATTCCCTCGTGAAACATCGTCTCTTCCCCCACAACTTCTAGGGGACATTTTTACGGCAACGTTACCTACATGTGCCGATGATCTACAGAAAGTGTAAGGACAGTTTCGACTTTTTTAAGCTTTGTAGCTCAAGGCATTGAGCTCTTGGACCGATGAGAATGTTGAATATTGTGATTATGAGACTCGCATGATGTGCGGACGGTTTTCGAGTAGTCCGAGAACGTTATTCTCTCCGCCCTAAAATGTCAAGAAAAGAAAGTGAGGAAAGCAGTAATACACCTTCTGTCGTACGAAGAAAACGTGATGAAAGGTTTAGTAGCGGAAGCTCGCCCGAGGTACCTCCAACCAAGTCGGCGAAGCAGACTCTTGAAGAGTTAAGCAACAACGAGAACGATAGTAACGTTTGGATAGTCCTAAACAAGATCCGTAGGAACACAGACGAACTATTGGAAGAAAACCGTGCTATAAGAAGGCAATATGAAGAATTAAAGGAATCTTTAGACTTCAATAATGCCGAACTGACGTCTCTCAAAAAAGAAAATAAAGAGTTTGAAGATAAAGTGGCGTCGCTTGAAAAATCTCTCAGCGAGGTAAGAGCAGATGTTGACATCCTCTACGAAGATCTTGGAACGGCGATAACCCAAGTGGATGACGTCGAACAGTATACAAGAAAACACAACTTAGAGATTCATGGAATCGCAGAAACTGCAGACGAAGATATCGCTGAAAATGTTGTTAAGCTTGGAAAAGTCGTCAACGTGCACATATCTCCCTCTGATATCGACATTTGTCACCGAATGGGACCTCGGAACAGCAGCGGCCCCAAACCTATTATTGTTCGGTTTAAATCACATAAGAAGAAAACTGAGCTGTACAAAGCTAGGATATTACAAACGTGGTATATATCAATGAAAATCTTACATATCTAAGGCGCAAGTTGTTTGCTAAAGTTAGAAAATTTAAGAAAGATAATCATTGGCATAGTGCCTGGACTTTGGACGGCAAGATATTTATTAAGAAGTCACAGGAAGAACAGCCGAAAATAATACACGCTGAAGGAGATCTTACCAAAATTTGCTAATTTAGTCTTTTTCTTCTTTTTTCTTTTTTTCGCCTCGGTTACTAAACCCCGATGCTAATTTGCTCCCCAAAATAGGAAACACCTCTTTTCAATACTATTTAAATCATTCACTTTCTTCGCCTTACACCTTGCTACTTTTTTCAGTCTAAAATTTGCATTCTGATATTTAATTAGCGGAGAGAATGGTAGGAGGGCGTCGCTTTGTTTCTAATCGCGATTGAATGCTGCTTTGCATCTTTGCATTAGCCTTCCTATACAATAAGCTGTTCTACAGCTTAATTTATGTGCATTTTGTTACATGTGCTAGAATTTTTTGTCAAAGTATTTAGCTTTTTATGGTTTGCCTTTTATTTTGCAATTGCTTTTCACCTTTGTGTATTGTATTTCGCTTTATTTTCCTTGTTTGTTTATTTAGTTATTTATTTATTTTTTACTGTTTCGCCTCCTTTTTATTTGCCGCCCTGTTATTGTAAAGTTAATTGTGATGTTATGTTAAATAATGTTTAATAAATAAATTATTTTTAAAAAAAATGATTATGATTATATAATCTCAGTGTTCAGCTCGTAACCAGTTCCCTTAGTAGTCGAGAACCCGTTGGAGGTTTCGTGCTGTTCCTAATAGGACAGTCTTTTGAATCTGAGCCGCATCAAGATTCACCCCTATGCTTTCAAGATAACCAACTAATTATAATAATAATAATTATTATTATTATTATTATTATTATTATCGTTATTATTTGAATACAATAATACATGTAGACAGATGCAGTGAATAAATTCTACTGACGCCTTTATACTTTTTGAAAAGTTCAATCATTTAGTTGAGCAATCATTTTTCCTTACCTTTGCAATCACTCATCTTGACAAACTCAACGTCAGAATCAGAATTTTCTCTCTCTGAACCAGAGGATGAAGTTTCACCATCAGCAGAATATCCTGTTTCTATGATATCCTCTTCCCAAATCTGATTTAAGTCCTCGTCAGAAGAAGGATTTGTCACTAATGAGGAGAAGTATAACATGACTGAAAAAGGCATTCAAGTCAAATTCTCTCATCGTATCCAGGGCTGCTTCTTGAGAAAAAGGTTTGTAACTTATACTATGTTCGAGACCATTTAGACAAATGCAATAATCCTTCTATACAGTGGAACTTCTACTACTTGAGGGAACTTTTCAACAATGGCCTTCTCTTCACATCAGACGCGTTCTACACGATCACTTTTGTTTTACCTTTTCCATCGTGACAACCTTTTTCACGACTGCAGTAGTCACTAAACTGCATCCAAACTGTCAAGAAAATAACCCCTTTCCACAACGGCGATTAAGCAAGTAGACGGTGTACAAAATTATTCGCACTACTTTTGTTCAGTAAACATTTTGTTATGAACTGTTTTATTGACATATTTTGATTATGCTATGTATGCTACAATGAGCATTTTTAAAACCCAAAAATCTTTCTACCACTTCACTAAAACCTGATGTCACTTTACACCCTCTCTCGCCCAATAACGGCCATTTTTCTACATTTTTCTTGTCTTGGCTCCCTATAAATGGGTTGCCGTCATGCAGAGGATGGTCGCAACGGGAAGCACGAAACATTTTCGCTAAAACGCTTTGTTCACTAAATACACCAAAACCTCGGACTGGCCCGTCTAACTAAGTTCTTTGCTAATTTAACCTCTTGTGAAAATCTTCAGCCAGAGAGGGAAGTCTTAAGGACTAAACACTATTTGTTATCTCCTGCACGTTCTCAGAGTTCTTGACAAGGACTATAAGGCTTGGGTCAAACGTCGAACTTTTCATGAGACGAACCAAATTTAGTGAGTTAAGAACTTGGCTCAGTCAAGTTCATCTGAATGAGTTTGGATCGTCTCACACTCTCTATCCGTCTGCTTCAGACGAATATAACGGCAGTTATCGAAACAACAATCTTATAAAGGTATGGTCCTTTAAGAATGCCTCGTTATTAATTCATTAAGTCAGTGCTAATTTATTTATATCCCAAAACCTACCTATGAAAAGCTGTAACTTACCAGACTGATATAGTTCAATATCTTCCAAAGCGTTTGCAAGTTCAGTCCAGTCAAACGCAACGCTTCTTGACTGATCTGTGCTGATGTCATACTCTTCTGAATACCTGACACGTAGGGAAGTCAGTCACAATTTGGGAACTCAAGAATAAAAAAAAAAGCCGAACGACTTAAGAGCAACTATATTACCCTAAAAGGCAAGTTTCCTCTCAACATTAACCCACAGGCTAATTGTTGGTTTAGTGAGGGGGGAGGTACATAATAGGGAGGGGGGAGAAATCGGGGCGAAAATGTAGGGAGGAGGGAGAAAATGAAATGTTGGGAGTAGGGAGATTACAATGAGAAGGTAATTTTGTGGCTTTTCTTTAACTTGCGTCATGACAAGGCCGGATGGGGGGACAGAGAAAATGGCGTACACTACAATCCCCTTAGGTCTCCTAGGACTCCCCTGGTCGGACTTAACCAACAAAGCATGGGATCAAACTTGGACGCATCTCAGATTACCAGGTTTTTAAAACTTGATGACGACAGTTGTAACACACAACTCCCTCACTTAGTTGTAAAGGAAGTTCTCTGTCCTTCAGAGCTTCGCTCTAACTAATAGCTGGTCCTTAAAGGATTTTCCCTTGCGATATGATATTCCTTAAAGATTTCTCTTAGCCGTCAATGGTTTTGTATAAGGTGGATTTTCCCATAGTATTTTCCTCAGTCTAAGTGAAACTGCTATTTTGAAACAAATGGTAGTGGCTTTTTACGTGCAGATTTGTTGCTCTGTTGAAGGGCTGTTTTCCTGTCGGCGAATTTTAACTCAGAGAGATACTTTCTCGCAATAGGGACCGGGTAGCCTTTTTTTACTTGGCGATTTTCGAAATCTTTGATAGTTTCCTTAAAAGTGGTTTGAGCATGAGAGGAACAGACCTTAGACCCATGAGCGCTTCTCCGTCAATGAAGCATTTCTTCACGCCTGGTGGTTGCCACAAGTACGTGAAAGGGTTCTGTACGTTGGCTCATGGGCCCGTGGTTGGTTTATGTGTTTGCACGTCTAGGATTGGTTCCCTGTTGAACCTAATCCCTTTGTGCACATTTCTGTCCAATAAAGTGATCTCTGTTTCTTACATCTCAGCCGTGAATTTGATAGTATTTGTCTTTTCTACAATTTTGGCTCTTTATTTTGTCCAGGTTCCATATGCAGGTGTCTCAATATATCTTTTCCAAAACAGCGGTTCAATTAGCCTGGGTGCCCAGAGACTTTTTATGTGCGGTTTCCGGTTTGGTAAAGCCGTTTAAAGTGACCTGCGTGGAAAGCTTTTTTTCTCGCTGTAGTTTCCTCGAAAACCATACCCAGTTCCCAGTGGAGGATCCAGGGGAGGGGCCCATTCCCTCCCTGATTTTTACGCCAATTTTTTTTTTTTTTTTGGAGACAGATCCCCCCTCCCCTTATCTAAGGGTTTGGATGACCAGGCTCCCCCTTATCTCAAGGACTGGATCGGGCACTGATTCCAGACCAAAATGGGCAAAATCTATACCCGTTTAAGACTGAAACGGCGCAAAAACCCTACCCTTTGAGGCGGCACATACGTATATGGCTTATATAATGGAGTACTCCCCCAGGGGTGGGTGTATGGGCTTTCCCTCAATAAAATCTTCGTATGGATACATATGGTGGTTAGGCCTTCTTCGTGTGGTACAAGCTCTGAAGGTTATACTTCCTCAGGAGTGCCCGCCGTTAATTTTCAAACCAAGTTTAGGGAGGAGGGAGAAATTGCCCCAAAAAGTAGGGAGGAGGGAGTAATTGGCTGAAAAAGTAGGGAGGAGGGAGATTTACCGTCCTGTACCTCCCCCCTCTTTAGTTGAATTGATCGCATTCCGGAATACGAATGAGACACAATTTCTGCTTTAACATATATTTTTGAAGCTATTATGTTTGAGAACAGAAAAAGGTTTTGAAATTGTAACCTGAATTTCATACGATTGCTTCGAGTCGTTTTCTCCTCTCAGCAACTGAGTTACTGAGGGAGTAATAACGACTCGAAGTAATCGGATGAAATTCAGGCTATTGAAATTGTTCCTTATACCAAATTTTCTTTTCTTTTCTTTTTTGATATCTATAAAAGGCGAAAACAAACAAAAAATTATGTTTTTATTTACTACTAAATATTTATATTTTAAACACAAATCAACAAAATCTTTTTTAAAAAAAAATGGCGGTTTTAGTTGTAATTTTCAGAGATACCGTAAAATTCCGAACATAAGCCCCTCGGCCTATATTTGTTTCAAAGGCCCTTTTTGAGGGGCTTACTTTTGGAGGGGCTCATATACGGAGGGGAATTTTCGTTTCAAAATTGGCCAGGCTTATACTGGGAAGGAAATTTACCTTTCAAAATCGATTGGGCTAGCTCATAGTTGAAAGGAAATTTATGTTAGTAATTTGCAGAAATTTTCTACTGAATCTCGCCTTGAGGACGCAGATTTTAGTAAAACTCAGCCACGCAAGTACTTTGTCTATATGGAACGAGGAAAACTCAAGCCGAGGGTTTTTGGGTTACGAGTTTGGGGGGCTTATATTTAGAGGGGCTTATACATGGAGGGGCTTATTTTCGGAATTTCACAGTATTTTGTCAAGTATAGTTTAAGGCAAAAAAGTAGCTACTCCACGCCATGACGTATGAGACATTGAAATGTACCTGAAATAACAACCGACCTTTTCGTTGTGGCTCGTAGATATGCTGCAACATCTCCGTGGCCATTTTCTTCCGCGATGTCTTCCGGTAAATAAATATCTTCTTTGTACGCCTGAAAAGCAACCCTCCCAGCAGACAAACTAAAGATCGTTTCAATGAGCCTCATGGCACCGGCTTCTGCAGCTGCGTAAACCAAAGGTTTCAAAATTTTTTGTGGTTCGACTTGTCCTTCTTGATTTGCCAGACCTATGAAAACAACTACCAGAAAGTCAGCTTTGTTGAAAATTATGCTGCATATTATTTAACATTTTTATGAAGCGTCTCAGCTCTATTTTTTACATAAAGCAATCATAAAAAATATTTATATTTAAGCTACATTCCTAACAGACAGCCGAGTTAGAAACGGGATGGCTTTATCATCATTAAAATACGTAACTTATTCCTTTATCAGCTTATATACCATGGTTTCTCCCATTATCAACACTTTCTGTAGTTTCAACTATCCAGATATTTCATCGTCTTTGAATTTGGTCAATTACCTCGTGTATCAGTCTGAGATACTGAGCACAACTTTAATTAAGCACTGCGATGTTTAGTTGCGCTGCAGAAACCCAAGGTAAAGTAACGAGAAACGCCGTGATATGCAAATATCGAGGGACTTCACAGACAGTTCTTGGTATTTTACACATCTGGTAGTCAGGAGGACCAGACTGTTACAGTACTCGACATGTTTGCATCTCATTAATAATAATGGATTAATAATTTCCCCATTTTTATTCCAAAAAGAAGCAAAGACCCTACCCTTTTGGGAGACACATACCTATATCGCTTAAGTAGGGGGGTTAAGTTCCCCTGGGTTTAAATCGACTCTGTTGGTATACAGTCAAATCTCTCTAAGACGGACACCTTTGCGACCGGCACTAAGTGTCCGTCTTAGAGAGGTGTCCGTCTTAAAGAGAGTCAAATAAAAGGAGTAAAGAAAGGCAGGGACCAACTCTAGGTGTCCTTTTTACACTGAGTGGTGTCCGTCTTATAGAAGTGTCCGTTAAGAGAGAGTCGACTGTAGTAACGTTATTACATCAACACGACCTACCTTGCTGCTTGAACATTTTTGCCAAGTTTTGAACGATATCGCTAAGTTCCTCTATTTTTCTCTTGTTGCAAAGTACTTGTTGGTTCGTTTCATTCTCTGGATCCTCATATGTAAAGAATGCTTGTCCTAAATAAAAACCACTTTCTCTAGTGATTGTCACAGTGACCAGTCCAGGTCGTCCACCTTTATGCAGAAAAAATGGCTCTTGGTTAAATTCA